ACGAAACGCTTGGGTGCTGTCGGTGCTACTCGCCTTCCAGGATGGGGACCGCGTGATCCTCACTGTGCCTGGTTGGAGACACTGCAAGATATGGCTGCCAACCGATGTCAGTGGCGTTCTAGTTGTCAGTTTCTATCCAGATTGCCTGAATGAATGTCTGGAGGTGTAGGCACCTCGGAATGATTGTGTTAAGCTAGCACTAAGTCCCTTCCCCGTCCATTTTTATTCTTTACAATAAGGCTTTCAAATATGTCATGGTTGTACGGCAGTGAAACATCGGCGTTGAACACTGATGTCATGCTGTCGATGATGATCATGATGAAGAAGAAGTGTGTGATTCGTGTAACGTTTGCCTAGTTCCCGGAGTAACGGTCGTACCTTCCATCCTGCGTGGGAAATCAACTTTAAATGTATCCTTAATGCCTTTTGAACCAATGGCCCAAAGCTCGATCTGCGTCAGCGTCAAAAGTGAATTTACTGATAGAAGTCTGTCTATAGGGTCTGCAGATAAAATTGACGGCTAATTTCTTGAGTCTGAACATCTGGAATGGCTTGTCAGCCTTCTATGAGTTTCAGTTGTGAGAGTTCAAAATCACCTGAAGTTGGTAAGCTGAAATTGACATGGTGGGAGACCCGTCGCCAGGGTTCTAACTGTGTTGCAGCTTGGTGATTTAGAAGATTGATCGAACTTATTCTATCGCGTTGAATAGTCTAAGTACTTGTGTGGCAAATCCCAAGAAACAAGACAAAGGACACCGGATGAATATTAGCTATATTGAGGATGAACAATAGAAGAAAGTACTGCGGCTCATTTAACTACAACAGAGAGAAAATGAAATCTCGGGAAATATTGATAGAAGTCTGTCTATAGGGTCTGCAGATAAAATTGACGGCTAATTTCTTGAGTCTGAACATCTGGAATGGCTTGTCAGCCTTCTATGAGTTTCAGTTGTGAGAGTTCAAAATCACCTGAAGTTGGTAAGCTGAAATTGACATGGTGGGAGACCCGTCGCCAGGGTTCTAACTGTGTTGCAGCTTGGTGATTTAGAAGATTGATCGAACTTATTCTATCGCGTTGAATAGTCTAAGTACTTGTGTGGCAAATCCCAAGAAACAAGACAAAGGACACCGGATGAATATTAGCTATATTGAGGATGAACAATAGAAGAAAGTACTGCGGCTCATTTAACTACAACAGAGAGAAAATGAAATCTCAGGGAAATATTACAAAACATCGATTTGCTTTTCAAGACCTGATCGTCCTTACATGCCCTGTTTCATTTCTTTGTTAAGGGTTTATTTTAATAAATTGGTATGGTTGGACGGCAGTGAAGCATTAGTGTTCTCATCTGGTGTTGCTTTCAACGATGATGATGGTGACTTAATTAACTAGGCCAACGACGCGGTCATTGTAGATACTTTTTTATGCAACTTGTTGCATTCCTGAATCTTGTTTACGGTAATTGAGCTAGATGGTGCTGACTGCAAACCTCAGTCGGTCCAGCGGCTGCTGCAACAGTTTGTACTGACTTTGATGTAACCCTCTGTTCCTGAGTTAAGGTTTCCTCACTCATAAACAGCTATCTCAGTGGTATTCTATTGCTTTCGCAGGACCCCATACTGATGAATACAAGCACTAGCATCTGAAGGCCATCCCATAGGGATCTTTTCTCTGTCAACTAGTTTCTATTGAAGTAGATGGCACCCTTGCAGTCACTGCCTTCAGACCGCGATAGGTGCATTTCTATCACTGTTTGTGTTGTGGGTGCTGAGTACGACTAATTCTATTTCACACTGCCAATTACTGTTTTTCATTCCTACCATACTAGGCAGGTATATTCAATAACGATACTTGTGCGATGGTATAGCTTAGCTCTTTGACTCGCTTGGTACTACTACGAAGGTTTTGGTTTTCCATTTCTTAAGGTCCTGTTTGCACCGGATAATGGCTTTCAAGTCATATTGATGGTCACTCAAGAATCATAGTGTTTCAGTTATTTCCCTCATGTAAATTTCGTGGTATCTAAGCGAACCGTTTTCTGTCTAGGGAGGAGGATTTCGACGCTGTTTATCCAGAATCTTCTCTTTCCTACGGACCAACTGTCTGTTCTTTCGGCCTCAAGTACAACGATCACAACTATGGTTTACCCTCAGGACTGACGCCTCCATCCATGGCCCCTCATCTAATGGACTCACATACTCCAAAAAGTAGGACTCTGTCCGATGTTGCTCAGGAGGATACTTGTTCTCGTGCCATGTTCATAGATGACAACGTAGAGGATCCTTCCCTCACTGATCAGATTGGTGACTCCAATTCCACTTCCGTCTCAACGAAACCAACATCATCAGGTATCACACCAACAACCACGCAGTCCGCGGCAGTCAATAACCTTACCCCGAAGGCTGAGTCCAGACAGTGCATATCTGGATCCTGGGAAATTTCGGACCCGGACCGCAAGAATTCAGGGCCCGTCGATGAAACCTCAGGCGTTTTACATTCCAGGTTCAAAATGTTTGGTGCTTTCGAACATATGGAGATGCGATACGAGCCGGAGCTCAAGGCAAGTGCTTGTCTTTCTTTTTTTTTCGACAGCACGCGTTTGTCTTTTAATTAGCTGTTTCTCAATCGATTCGTACGTTTTGATATGAATTGTGAGCCAAAAAGCTGTTTTATCGAGCAAACTAGTCCACATCTCTAAACTTGCTGTATCCATGACCATATGATACTTCGTCCAGTTACCACGAAATTTCATGAGCCGCATTTGACGGATCATAATACGGCATGCGAACATAAAGATAATCTCTCATCGCCCTGAAGAGGTACCAAAGTTGTATAGACGTAAGTCAATGCTGATTAGGGGAATCTATGCATGACCTTTGGATAGTTTACTTAGGTGCGAGTTCGTAGCCTACTTTTCCCTAGACCTTGGTAACCGGCAGCTTCGTAGTCCTACTCACTGGTTTGCTAATATATATATATATATATATATATATATATAT